CGATCAGAACCAAGCATGGATGCAATCACTGATCTCTTTAAATTTCACCATGCAATAAATCTATTTACCAAAATGTTTTTTATAAACATGTAATTTTCAACCTTCATGAGTTTATCAATTTTTTTTATTGATAAATGAAAAATAATCTAACTATTCATCAATCATACTATAAACACATCATTGATAAAGAATTTCAAAGTGGGGAATTTTTAATTTCAAGAAGGAAAAAAATCTTTACAAATTTATCACCTGCTTCTCACACTCCTGTATATTTGGAAGCAAGATCAGTGATAGATATGTCAGATTAATGTCACTTTAATAGCTGGCATATTTCTCAACTTTCTAAATTTAAAGTGATTATTTATATTATCGTGAAGCGATATATCAGATATCTTTACTATTTCAATCAGACAATACACCTCTTGTTTTAGTAATTGACTCATCAGTTTCAGCAGGTGTTGTATGTTCTTTTAACCAGTCTTTTTCCCCCTTCTTTTTAATATTTATGTCCTGTCTACACTATAAGATATGAAGCCAGGTATGTGTTTATAGTGTTATCAAAGGATGGTTTACCAAATTATCTTAAGACATTAACAAATTGATAAATTGAGGACCACCCTAAGGATGGAGATTCTGTGCTATCATCTCATTGAAATATTATTATACCCTGGATTATTAGTACATTACTCAACTATATGGATCTGGAAATTTTCAAATGCATAAAGGGACTATCTGAGCTACCTCACTAAATCATTAAAATGAGAATAAATACCATGTCAGTTACCTCATTTGAACTAACTACACTAGGGCATATGTTTAACAAAATTTCTTAATCAAATATTACTGATAATCTTTAAGTCTTTTTGACCCTTCAAAGTTTTCCTGTCACACCCTTTATTCAAAGACATTTGATCCTAGATTTCGTTGAAATCAAAAAGTTGTAATTGTCTGAAAATATGTATCCAGCGGTTCCCATGCAAGATACACCCACATTTTGCAAGAGAGAACGAGCTAAAAAAATAATGTGATTTTTTTTACAATCAGGGTCCATAATCCAGGAAGATATAGTCCGATATGCACAAATATCAAAAGGAACCAAGATCTGTGGGTTATAAACATGTATTTCAAGTTTCATCAAAATCGAATCAAAACTGTGACCTATAGAGGGTCCACAACCTTGATAAATCTGATGTTTACACTATTTGCATACGGGGGAGGGCATTTTGTCTGGCAGTGTTGGTCCGATTTTCATGAAATTCGAATTCACCAACATTACGGTGTAACGGTGACCTATTTGAACGTTTTTTTTTAAATCAGATAATAATTGTGACCTCTAGAGGGACCATAAGCTAAAAACCTGATTTTTCGTACAATCAGGGGCCATAATTCAGGAAGCTACAATCCGATATGCGCGAATATCGAAAGGAACCAAGATCTTTGGGTTATAAACATGCATTTCAAGTTTCATCAAAATCAGGTGAAAATTGTGACCTCTAGAGAGTCCACAACCTTGATATACCATATTTTTTTTACACTATTTAGCGTAGGAGGGGCGACCATTTTGTCCGGCAGTTTTGGTCCGTTTTTCACAAAATTCAAACTCAACCATCATTAGGGTGTAACGGTGATATATTCAAACGTTTATTTTAAATTGGATAAAAATTGGTACCTCTAGAGGGACCACAAGCTTAAAACACGATTTTTCATACAATCAAGGGCCATAATTCAGGAAGTTATGATTCTATGTGCTCGAATATCGAAAGGGACCAAGATCTTTGTGATATACGCATAAATTTAAGGTTGCATCAAAATCGAAAAAGAATTGTGGCCTCTAGAGGGTCTACAACCTTGATATACCATATTTTTTACAATGTTTGTGTACGAGGAGCAGCCATTTTGTCTGTTAATTTTGGTCCGATTTTCACGAAATTCGAACTCAACTGTCATTAAGGTGTAACGGTGATATATTCAAATGTTTTTTTTAAATCGGACTAAAATTGTAACCTCCAAAGAGTCAGTCCACAAGCTAAAAAATGTAATTTTCCCTACAATCAGTGGCCATAATTCAGGAAGTTATAGTCCAATATGCGTGAATATCGAAAGGAACCAAGATCTTTGGGTTATAAACTTACATTTGAAATTTCAACAAAATCAGATAAAAATTGTGACCTCTATAGGGTCCACAAGGTAAAAACGTGATTTTTTGTAAATCAGAAGCCATAATCCATGAAGTTACAGTCCGATACATGCCATTATCGAAAGGAACCAAGACCTTAGGGAGATAAACCTATATTTCAAGTTTCGTTGAAATCGGATAAAAATTGTGACCTGTAGAGTGTATACAAACAACTGTGGACGGACGGACAGGGGCGACGACAATATACGTCCACTCGAAATATAAAAAGCTATGGACATACTGACTGATGAAGACCATTTCATAACCCCACTGGACAAAAACTGTTTCAGACACATGTACGAAAGATAAAATCAACCAAGGAACAATTTCTGCTGATAAAATTAATTAGTTTATATGGTAACCTTGGGATTAAGGTGCAATATTGCTGTTTAGGTGTTGTCATGACATCAATATTTAAAACTGGTTTCATTAAATCTCTTTCATCATCTACCCTACATCCTAAGGGAAATCAAATACCCATTATAACCTTGCATCCTATAATAAGTCTCTACACAGCCTCAACAAATTTACTTTAACATGTACCAAAACTTCTACAGAATTCATAGGACTCCAAAAAAATGAAATGAAATGGGGTTTAACGTCCTACTGTTCTGCTCCTAAACTGGCCTAATGAAGACGGTGGACTCCAAAGAAGAACAACAAAACATGAAAGAAATGATGTTCAGCACAGCAAATCTTCATTATCTGAGAGATAAACTGGCTTATCCTTACATGCAACTTTTGGAAAATCCTAGTGGATTCAATTCATTCCAGAGATATGGAGTAAGAGAACTCAATGCATTCATAAAATGAAATTATGTTTCATCATGAACAAAATCTCTAAAACAAGTTTTTAATATTCATTGAAGCATTTTATACCCAAGGTTTGATCATTTAGAGAATTTTAAATGAAACACCTGCTGACAACCTATTTGCTTATGATGATGGAGTAAACAAACAAATAATTGGTCAAAGCTAAGTTTAATAGTTATTGAAACCATATAAAAACCCACCTCATTCCTAAATATCCAATAATATTTACTAGAGCATGGGTTATGGGATATTAGGCATGGAGTTTAAGATCTTTCTATTTTATTCTCTTAAAGAGTCTAGACCTTTAAATTGAGGTTTTCTGCTTAAATGATGTTGAACATTAAATGGCTAAGTACTCCTTAAAGGCTTGCATAAAATCTTTTTTCTCGTCAATTAAGCTATATATTTATTGTGGCGACTGAATTTAAGCTGAAAGCTTTTTCTTCAGACAGCTATCACATCTTTTACAAATCTGAAGGAAACTAATTGAACTTAAATATATTCTCATTTAACTAGTCTAAAAAAAGTCAATTCTCCTGGGCACACTCTTCCCATCAAATACAGTGAAGGTTATTTTAATTTGACTTTTTTATTTCACAGATGTATCAAGCTAAGTCGAAGTAAAAAAGTCAGTTTGCTTCAAAACAGTAATTTTGGTACATATCTAATGTTGCAAATGGAATGGGGTTTAAACTCGTCATATGGTAATTTAATTTCAATGGTTATGTATACAATGCTGGGAGGAGAATTTTTCCTGGTAAGTGGGTTTCCTGCTACCATACTCTTCTTTGAATATGAAAAGGCACAAGTTTTTTTGCGTGTAGGTACCAATGTGTAAACAGATGGACCTCAGTTTTTGGTTTCATCCTAATGACAAGGCACACTTTCTTTGTCATTCAAACTTCAAAATTCCTGATAATTCTTCTCTGCCCACATCAGTATTCAAACCTGTGATAGTGTGGTGCAGAGGACACTGCTCTACTACTCAACTACAGTGGTCTGCCTACAACTGCTAGCGTTAATAATGTACAATAAAATAAGAAATTAATGCAATCTGAAGGCAGCATTTAAGACATTAATTTTCTTCAGACCAATAAATGATTATGTTAAGACCTTGGATATACAAGAAAAGAGTAAAGTAGGGATGCATTATGTATTGAGTATTTTTTGTCGATCAAAGCATTTTGAAATTGGTAGGGTTCTTTATAAGTCCATAATGAACAATCTCACCAAAGTTTTTAAATTGCTGTCACATGATTAAAATGTTCCTTCTTAGGTCCCATGAACAATTTTGCTACAGTAAACATTGCGCTGCATTATGCTTTAAAAAAATATTACTCCAAAAAATACATTTTGAAATTTACAATAGATAAGGTTCTTCCTTATACCTAAAATTAAAACTCCACTAAAAGTTTTGAAACTTGATAAGATTCGTCCTTTTAGCCTAATGAACAATCAAGAAATATGCCCTGTATCTTTTTAATCAAACGGGTATATGCCATTCAGTGTACTATGAGGCAAATTTTGCCCTGACAGCGACACTACGGCTTACCCTTGTATCCAATTCCAACTGTCAAGAGTTCTTTTACGTGTATGGCAATGTGTACATGGAACCTCAGTTTTTCGTCCCATCCAACTGACTATACATTGTCTTTTGCCAGGCCATTCTCGGATAACACTGGGATTGAGCATGTGACCTCCAGGTTAGCGAGCCAATGTCTTACTCACTGAGCTACCTTGGCTTCCTAGACAAATGAACCCAACGTATATACAGTGTAAGACAGCATTATGAGTCTGATGATCCTAGATGTGAAACATTTTCAGTTTGTATCTTATTATTTCAATATCAAGAAATTCTCTAACAGCTGGGTTATTTATTATAAAAATCTTAACACTTGTTTAGCCTCATTCTGTTTATAATTTAAACAACAATATTTTTATTGCTTTTCTGTCATGTGATTTGTGTAAGTTAACTATTTTCTAGTGATATAACAAGTTTGTATGTACTTACTTTGAACATACATCAACTCTTTCACAACAACCCAACCATATCCATAAACGGTATCGCCTGCATAGTAGGTGGCCGTGGGATTATTAAATATTATCTGAAATTTATCCAATCTGTCCATCATGCTACGGGCCAACCTAAAAATAAACATAGAAGAACACGGTTATTTATTTGATTTATCAGGTATAAAACAGTAAGGAGTCTTATTATGGATTCAATCATATAATCTCCCTTCATGTGCTCAAAAGATGAGTTTTGAAAAGCAAAACATACTCAAAATGAATCACAACAAAATATTTTGTGCCAGATAAAGAAAATTTAAACAATACATTAGAACTGACTGTTGATACATCACATGTGCAGTTAAAATCATTGAGTTTGACAAGACTGCTACATGGAAATGTTCTTATAATTTTGTTAGTTTCCATGAAAATAGCAAATAATCTTATTATAAGATGTTGCTTAGGAAAACTGAAAGTGACATATGATTATGATTAAACATGATTTAATAATTTTCAAATTAAATGCAATAAAACATCCTTAGAGTACTGCAATTGTTCAATTCTTATAAACATAACATCATTACATGGAAACAGCAGTTAATAGGACGCTGGGGAAGAAAATGAGTTGGAATGTTTCTAATCTGGTTAGATAACAGGTTGACATGTCTTTGATAGAAAGATTCAATAAATCTTTTAGAACTTTCCTATTAAAATTATTATTATTATTCGATTTATATAGCCCTTCATTACACATGAGTATTTCTAAGCGCATTCACAACAAAACAGTTCAAAAACATTTTTGAAATAAGTATGTTTTTAAGTTAGTCTTAAAGCTCTGGATGGAAGAGGACCATCAAAGAGTTTTTGGAAGATCATTCCACATTTTAGCTGATGTGACGGAGAAAGCATATTCACCAGAATGTTTATTATATTTGGGGATCCTCAATATGCTACGATCACTTGAAGAACGAAGGTTGGATCGCCGGGGAGTATAGAAATCAAAGAGTTCTTTTAAATAACTGGGTGCAGTGTCAGAATAAATTGATTTAAACACATTCACAATAAGAGCTTTAAATTGAACCCTCGCTCGAACTGGAAACCAATGGAGTTTCTGTAACTTAGCGGATATATGATCAAATTTTCGTGTTTTAGTTATGAGACATGCAGCATGGTTTTGCGCTATTTGTAGTCTGTTTAAAGCTGTTTCTGGTGCTCCTAATAGAAGAGAATTTGCATAGTCCATGTGCGATGTTACTAATGCTCTAACAACACTCTGGCAAGCATCAGTATTAATTAGATTAGAGCATATTCTCGAAATAGCACTCATTTGAAGATGCATTTTCCGTATGATACTATTGATTTGGGGAACTGGGGACAAAATTCATCGGTAACATAGCCCAGATTGGGAAATATAGAGCAATCACGGATCTGAATGGAATCCGCTTTAAACAATTTACCGGATTGTGATTTTGATGATATAAGAAATTCAGATTTGTCATCATTAAGTTTTAGCCTATTTCTAGTCATCCATCCTCGAATGTCATTAAGGCAAGACTCTAGTCTACTGATAGAATCCTTGGAAGCAAGATAGTTGTTGTGTTGAAAGTAGTCATATATTTGGGTGTCATCAGCAAAGCCGCGTTTTGTACCCCATGTCTTCTTATGATTTGACCAATTGGAAGAATGTATAGAAGAAAAAGTAGAGGTCCCAATACAGATCCTTGTGGAACACCTATCATAACAGCACAGGGTTGAGACACAGACCTGTTTATTTGCACCTTCTGTGTTCTATCTTGAAGATATGACTTTATCCATGACAGTGAGGAACAAAAGATCCCAACCGAACATTCAGGCCTTTGAAATAAAATACTATGATCTATAGTATCAAAAGTAGCACTGAGGTCCAAAAGTACTAGGTGTAAAGTTAAATTCTATTGACCATGAAGTACCAGGGTTTGCAAATGTGGGGTCGCAACCACAAATGGGGTCTCTTGATACTTTCGACAGGTTCGCCCAGTTGCGATGGGGTCGCGACTGATTTCGAGTTTCAATGTGTCTGTGAATTCGATGAGTAAGCTCCTTCTTCTGAAATGCTTGCAAAACGCGTTTTAGTAAATCAGTAAATTTTTAAAAATTTGGGGTCGCTCAAAATAAGTTGTGGAAACCCCTGACGTAGTATCTTCAGATGCAGTTTTACATAATACGGGAAACATATAACACCCTGTGATACGCTTGTCAGCCAGTAGCTATTGATAAGTAAAGGCCAGTCAATACAGTTGGGTCATGCTCGAATGAACACACCAAGTTGCGAGACCTCAGGTTCGTAACAGTTCCTTAGGATTTTCCAGCCTGTAGGAAGGAGGGCAGTGATAGTTCTTCAGGATTTTCCAGGATGGAAGGCCTGGCTGGATCGGACTAAAATCAGAAGTCTTGTGTACACATTGGTGTAATAGTTTGAATTGGATGAAGAGGTAACACAAAAACCACTATTCAGGCACAATTAATTTGACTCAAAGAGCAACGGTTCCGGCAAGTGTGGGAATAAAAAAATTTAAACAACTGTAGAGATGGACGGGCGGACAGACCAAATACTGCAATGGCTGAAATATCAATTTAAGAAACTACTGGCTTAATTTATAATTTTGATATCATTACAATTACTATACTTTTATTTATAATTTTATAAACTATAGGCTTAATTAATCTATAAATTTGATATCATTACAATTACTATACTTTTATTTGTAATTTCATGAACTAAGTACAAGCTTAATTAATCTATAAATTTGATATCATTACAATTACTATCCTTTTATTTGTAATTTCATAAACTATGGGCTTAATTAATCTATAATTTTGATATTACAAATACTTCACTTATTTTCAGTTATTCCAAGTTTGTTTAAAAGGATTGGCTTTTTGATGGTATCAAGTTTACCTAATTATAAAGTCCAATTGCCTTGTATATCTTTCATTAATAGCATGTCAATTTATCCATCAATATAGTAGTAGTTGTTCATCATCTGGGATACTGTAAGGAAGGCAAAATGACAGCTCAATTAGAAAAGAGATATTAAAAGAGGATCGAGTAACAGAAAAATATTACCAGTTCTTCATAAACATTCTGTGTAAGGGTTAACTTCCTTGAAATATTGTTCCTAGATGTCAAGTTTGGAATTTATGTTCATCATGACATTACAATTACAAAGTATTAAATTTACATCATCAGAAAGAATTGTAGGACTCCAATCAAAATCACCCTGTTTAATTATGACATGAAAACGGATAATCAACAAACCATTCCTACTATGTTACGTCACCACCTGTATTAAACTGAATAATTAATTGAAGTAAAGGGCCTCGATTGGGAGGCGAGTGTGTGTGTGTTTCAGCATTCCTGTATATCCAAATTCACACACAAATGAAAATGTGCGAATGAGAAATTACAACAGTGTGTGCACAGCAATTATGATAATCATCGCAGACCATATGGTTGTAAAGTTTGTCTAACTTCCAAATTACAATCTTCAAACTGGGTCTCAACCATTTGTTTTTTTAAAATGTGATTATGAATTGATACCGGACCCATATCCAAACAAAACTTGCAATTAAAAACTGTAGGTAGTTCATAGGAATAGCAAATTATATGATGATGACACACATGATTAAAACTTAATTAATTGCTAATGTATTATCAATAATTAATGTTCTGCATGATTTCAACCTTAGTTAAACTGCTGAACTGTAGTGTGCTATGAGAGAAATCTTGTCTTGACGGCTGTCTTCTATGAATTCCAACTGCCAAGGTTCTATCCTGCACCATTTGACAAGAGGATACCTGACTTTATAATCCTGAGGAACCTTTTCGTAATCAATCACCAGACGTCCTGGTTAATGAGCCATTGTCTTACTGAGTCACAGCAATCGTCAAATTACAAAAGATTACAGCTCAATTTATAGGAAACATCCAAACTAACATCTTCAAAATGACTGCCATTCAACATTATGTGTTATGCACCAGATTGCAGTGAGTTTATAAACAAATCAGTGAGAATATCATGGTGTGATCAGAAGAGTTGTGTTTTGACTGGTCTGTCTATATTGTGATGTTGACAGCAGTAATAATGTCTTTTTATAACTGGTCAGTTGTAAAACTGAGACAAATAAAATGTTAAATATATGGAACATAATACGAAAGAAAACAAATTGTTTAACATTTGATGAAATTTTTAAAACATAACACCACCCACATATGAGCTGACAAAATGAGATGGGGTTTAACGTCCTATGTTTCCGAACCAACAAAGCCAATGAAGATGGGTATCTGCCATGCAGTGTCTTAAGAGGGAAATGTTGCCTGGACAGCAACATCTCCACCTTCTCTTCATTGAATTCCAATTGTCAATGATCCTTTACATGCATTACAACTTATGAACCTTGATTTTTTTTTTCCATCTGGATGACTAGATGTTTTTTTTTAAATCAGATGACAGTATATGAGCAAAATCCTAAAGGAAATTTTAGTTATATTATTATATATTATTGTTACAATTTGACCTTTTATAATACAGACTAGATTTTAGAATAAAATCCATTAGGCAAGTAAACAAAATTCCAAAATTTAAAATCTACCTAGCACCTTTCCCTTACCCTTAAAAATTGCCAGAAAATTTAACAATTTGAATATAACTTACAAAATAGGCACATCATCCTCTTCATGCTTTTCTTTGATACAAGAAGTATCATCATTTATATTACCATTACAGGTATCTTTCTCCATGTCTATATGTATAAGCTTACAGTCACAGTTCTATCCTAACAAGTCAGCAGCCACACACAGCTATTTTGTCCATTATGCATCATACACTAGGTGCTACACTAGCTAAAACCTGAGATCAGTTTTATGTTTAACAATAAAGGTAACAATGCATTTAAGTTTGGAAGAGTAAATCATCATAATGATATCATCATAATGACCTAAATTTAAACAATTACTGACACTAGGCATGTCACTATAAAGTTATTTGCGTACCGGCTCAGTTACATATTCCGCACTGTGAACAAGCTGTAACTTAAAGGTAACATGTCCAATAATAATACTGACTACAGGAAACTACAATATGAAGCATGGAGAT